TAGGATCTCAGACACATCTGTAAAGAAATATAACACAAGTTTGATTTTTCATTGTTTCAATTTTACTACTTTTACCCATTAACCTAATCAGATATAGCTTTATTTACTGCTGCTAACATATAATATAAAGTATCTGTTATGGAATATTCAAATCGGTTGACTGTTTAAAAATTTTTAATTATAGATCACACTGGTTGCATTTTGCAAATGATTTTCCAATAAATAAAATTCTGAATCACTGGTCTGAATTTTAAGAATTGAAATACCAGATGAAAATAGTCCACCATAAACTATGCACATATTTTACAATCTAATCAAGTACTAACATCATGTTTATACACCAGAGTCAGGGAGTAACTGTAGTCACTGACTTACCAAGCAGGTCATTTTGCGGCAACCATTCGATGAGCTTAGTGTTGTTTCCTAGATTCTTTGGTTTGGTTCCAGAAAACCTAGAATGTACACCAAATAATCAGTCTTTCAGAAATCAAGCCTTACTCACGATATGGGATTTGGGGCTAAATTTTTAGACTTACAAGTGTTACGTTATATAATCATTTACTGATATGCTTATAAATGAAATCAAGGTTTAGTATTAGTAAAAACATGATTACCTTTCTTAATAACAAATGTTTCACGAAGAGGCAGATATCATTTGCTTATAAAAATCTTATTTTCCATCAGCTCACCTTTTTGCCCATATAGAGATGGGAACCCAAATGAACCTGCTAAAAACAATTCTACTACCCCAGTACCCAGAGAGGATGGAGACAGCCACAACTGGGTTGCCATTCGCCTCCATCCTTGTACCCAGAGCCCTGGAGGGCCAACACTGAAAGAGAGCAGAAAGCACACTTGTGTGCCTTGTACCACGAGAGCACAGATCTGCAGGGCATAGGACATATTAGACTGTTTCCTGCCAGATCTTTAGAAGGCAAACCTCAGTGGTATCTCATAACTAAAAGGATGAAAAGAGTCTGCCCTGAACAGACAAAATTGTTCTCAACAAAGCACAGGAGTCTCTGTGTTAAGTCCAAATGAAAGCTCTCAAGGAGCGAGTCTGAAGGGGACAGTCCTGCCCTGAATGAAATCACTGTCCCTTTCCTAGCTCCACCTTAACACAGTATTATAAGAGTAAAATCTAGATGGTATGTGTGTAACAGCTTGGAAGACCCTCTCCTGTCCCTACTGTGGACTTGTGTTAAGGACTCTGTCTCCACGAACAAGGGCACATATGCAATAAATGCATATATTGAGGTCTTTGGGTGTTTACACTGGGAGGCAGCAGTGCCTCCATGACAGCGGGATGGACCTCGGATCTTGGCGTTTGTCTTAAGTAGTATTAGTTGGCAAATTACTGAGACTTTGGAGGCCAAGCCTCTCGGATTAAGAACCTGGAAGTAGGGGTGTCAGCAGATACAAGCACTGGCTGCTCTTGCAGATGACCTGGTTCAGGTTCCAGCACCCACCTGGCAGCTAACAAGAGTTGGTAGCTCTAGTTCCAGAAGATCTGATGCCCTCTTCTGGTCTCTGCAGGCACTGCACCAGAAGGGGACACATACACACATGCAGGCAAAACACTCAAAAATAAACTCTGAAGCAAACTTAAAAATGAAACTGGAAGTAATGATAAAGACAACACAACACATGGGGAGTCTAGAGTGCCTGAGGTCATGAGACACTTTAATTATTCTTTCCTTTATCATCTCTGTCTTATTCCAAACTGATTTGAAGGAACATATAGAAAGGTATGAATTTAAAACTAATTAAAAAAATAAACGAGGGTTGAAATCTGAAGGAAACATAAAAATGCCTCAAACATAGGATGAACTATTCCAAGTTATATATTCTTTCTATGCAGAGGTATCTTTATTTATCACAGAGCTTTAGGAATCAAGTTTCAAATTTCAGTGTGTTAAGAAACAGCTGGGAGGCAGAGGCAGGCAGATCTCTGTGAGTTCAAGGCCACCTTGGTCTACATAGTGAGTTCCAGGACAGCTGAGGCTACAGGGAGACCCTGTCTCAAAAAGACAAAAAAAAAAAAAAAAAAAAAAAAAAAGAAAGAAAGAAAGAAAGAAAGAAAAAAGAAAAGAAAACCTCAAGAGATGCTCATCATATCAGTGAAATGCTGTGCTGCGCTCTACAAGGACCTACGGATTAAACACAGAGACGCTGAAGACCAACAGCAAGAAGCAATCTGAGCTGTTACAACCTTACCTCCAAATCACTTTCTGAGGCAGTCTCCCCAGAGCTCCAGCCAGCTTGTTAGCAATGTCTTCTGACAGATACTTAACACCAGCTCCAAAAGATACCAGGACAAAGCCATGTTCCTGAGCATCATCTACCCAGCTCTGCAGATCCTATGAGGAGAACAGGGTAGGAAATTTAATGAAGATCGACACCGTTCAGTCATTGCCATCAAGAAACCACTTTAAAAAGTTTTATAATTTCCTTAAATAATTAGAAAGTGAAGATCGCATATGGTATTTTCCTCTGAGTACTGCTTTAAAAGAAAAGTTCTTCATTTGACAATGCCAACTGAATTAAGGGTGGCATATGTTTTTAAAAGAATCAACAAATAACCACCAAAATAAACCACCAGCTAACAGTATGAGAGCTTAAAGATCAGAACATTCAAATTGGTATTTTATCAATGGTTAGAGAGAAATTTGTATAATATGAGCAAAAGACACAGAGTGATCATGTGGCATCCTATACCTAAACTCAAAAATTCTTTTCACAGACTTTTATCAGGATGACTGATCTGCGCTGAAAGCAGTTCATGACAAATGTACCTCTTGCCTCAGTTTTGTTCGGTGAGTACAAGACTGATGTTAATTGCAACTCAACCTTGTGAATACATCTTTGACAATGACTGAGGTTGTTTCCTGTGTGAGCACTAAGAGGTCCCAAAACATCTGAGGAACACACAACCCATGGGCTGTTGGGTGCTATGCCACAGGCAGTTGTGAAAGCACGGGCAACCCAGCTTCACAGCAATGCTTGTGGTGTAGAGTGAGCTATCAGTACCATCTCCCAGACCCTGCCCTGCTCCTGCTCAGGATCACTGGGGTGTTGGCATGTCTCAGCGTAGCTGTGCATTTCATACCACATTCTGCCATACAGTCATGTGCAGGGGAGAAGCACTGCATGAAAGGAATATTTTTCACCAACATTATGGGCTAGCAGACTTAAGTGGAATGTGTGGCCCAAGCTCTTATTTTCCTCTCCTTTCCTTTCCATTTCTTCAATTAATGAGATTGGTACTGACAGGCTGTATGACATTAATTCTTAGTGAAGGAAGGGAAAGACCAGAGTTTATACCTCCAATGAAATAGTGAACGGAAACACCACCTGCCTGAGAGAAAGAAGCCGCATGCTTTTAGCTAGTGAAGAAAATATGTCAGGCTTATTTGGTAGGAAAAAAAAAATCTTAAACACATTTTTCAGGAAACTGTTGATTTATAAATGAATAATAAAAAAACACAGACTAACTCAACTTTAGATGAAAACTATTATATTTTTCTAAACTTTATCAAGCCTTATCCCACATCCTGAAAATTTAAGTGTGCTATCTTGGAGTCTAAGTAAGAAAGAGAGGAAAATCTACTTCCAATTTTAACTTTATGTACATTTCTATGTCAGATACACCTAACACAAGTACAGATACCACATGTAGAATGATTGTAACACATGGCATCTTTTCCCTATGGTTTGCTTTCATTTACTTTACCACCCAGCACCCGGTTCTCTTTCAGGATCAATGCTATTTGCAAAATGTTTATGTTCAGATATGTAAGTCCTTTTGATGCTAATGTTTTTTAAATTTTCTTCACAAGCACTCAAGAGGTCCTGGAGTTTTTAATGCACTTCATGTAATAAATAATTCTTCAACTGTCTGTTCTGCATGATGTAAAATGAAACCCATATACATACAGTTTTAATAGCCATATTATGAATATATTTATTCAGTCTTTATAATAGGTAAGGGAGTAGAAAAAATACTGTACTCAACACAATCATCTCCAGGAAAAGTAGTATTTTAGAAGGTAATACCAAGCTGATATCCAACTGGGCTAGAGGTGGAGGAGATGAGGGCAATGGTCAGAGTACAGATGGGGACAGTACAGTGGACACTTGACTGCCCTGGATGCAATTCCCTCTCCCAAAGTTTCTAATCTCTATCAAGGGCACAAAGTGTTTGACCCATAAGAACACTGAACAGGCTGAGCTTTGGATTTGGTTAGCAAAGGAGACATGCAGGAGACACGAGCACACTTCGGAGCCAGAGGCTAAAGGAATTTTAAGTTTGTTACACCTTCAGCAAACACTTGAAAACTGGAACTTCATGAAAAATATACCCGTATTTCCCAGCCTTAGGTGCTCTATGTAAATAGACAGTATCTTTTAGATAGTATCTTTTGGATCCTGCTATAGATGATAAGGTCTAAACTGATTTTGTAACAATTCTTTAAGAAAATGAACTTCAACTGGGTGTGTTGGTACGTACCTTTAATCCCAGCACTAGGGAGGCAGAGGCCAGCAGATCTCTGTGAGATTGAGGACAGCCTGGTCTACACAGCAAGTTCCAGACAGCTGAGGTTACAGGGAGACCTTGTCTTTAAAAAAATGAACTTCAGGATAAATATGTGCAATATAAAGAATGAATGCTTATTTCAGAAATAAGTTAGCATTATTAAATGTTAAAGTACTTTAGAGTCTTCCTACTTCCCACCAAGAAAATATCAAATTAAAAAGACTAAAAGTTCATTCCTTTTCAGCTTCAAAACATCCATCAATATCTAAGAAAAAGCCTAATTGAGATGCATAAAATATACTGCCAGGTGTGGTGGCGCACGCCTTTAATCCCAGCACTTGGGAGGCAGAGGCAGGCAGATCTCTGGGAGTTTGAGGCCAGTCTGGTCTCCATAGCGAATCCAGGCAAGCCGGGGCTACAGGGAGACCCTGTCTCAAAAGACCAAATAATAACAACAATAATAATAATAACAACAACAATAATAATAATAATAATAAAAACTTGAAGAAAACAAAAACTTTAATAAAGGCCAGAAAAGAAAATCTGAGTAAGTGGACAGAAGTCATATGCCTAAATCAGAAATATCAATGGTAAGATGATGTGCATTTTTACCAAAATTAAATTTAGTGCATTCTTGGTACAGTTTCAGAGGTAATTTTATGAAACTTTAGGCGATGTCCACTGGTTAAGCACTTGTTCAAGCACCAGGACCTCAGTTCTGACCTCTTGCCGGGCACCAGGACCTCAGTTCTGACCTCTCGCTGGGCACAGTGGAACAGAGCATGCTTAGAATCCAAAGAAGTGGAACGAGAAGGATGCTGGGGACTTGCTGGCTGCCTGTTTAATTATGTCAGAGAGACCCTGACTCAAAGAATAAGGTGGAGAGAGATGGAGGAAGACACCCGATATTCGCCAACTCTGGTCTCCAAATGCATGCATGACTGTGCAAATACACAAATACATCTATACATATATACCACATAAACACACCCTCATTAGAAGAAAGAAAAACACACAGCAAAGGCTGAGAACATTTTGGAGAAGCATGGACTTCACTTTTCTAGAGATTAAAATACTTCTGGAGTCTAGAGGAACTGCAGAGGCCACTCTGAGTTTAGCAGATGGGACAGAGTGATGAAGATGGCTCGTGGAGACTAACTGCTGTCAGATTTGTGCAGGAATTCTCATCAGAGAGGAGAGGAATGATACAGAAATAGATCTAGGGAAAAACTGGGTTCTACCCTTTCATGGAGCATGAATCACAGGATTAAAATGTTAAACTGAATTACAACAGATGAGGTATTTGTAGATACAAAAGAATGCTTCTGTCATATTGGGATGGTCTCCCGGAATCAAAAGTCACATCAGAGACCACAAAGAAGAGACAGATGGACCTCACCAGAGACCAAGCAGACTCCCTGAGAATGAAAAAGATTTCACAACACAACAGAGCAACAAACAGATGAGCAGGAATAATTATAATATTTATAATATAGGATTAGCACTAAAACCAAGGATGGGCACCATTCACAAAGGTCTTGATGAAACACCCCACAAGCAGCTAAACTGTACAAACATTTCAGAAAGAGGCTTCACCTTCCATGACTAATCAGAAAAACAAAAACTCATAACTGGTTTCTTACAAAGTACTCTATTCAATGCCATGACACCATAATTACATATACTTAACTTTAAACATTTAAGAAATTATTTTGATATTCACTTCTTAAGTATTAAAGTTTTATATTTCTCTTTTGAGTTTTTTTTTTTTTTTTTTCTTTTTGAGACAGGGTCTCGCTGTAGCCCCAGCTGGCCTGGAGCTTGCTATGTAGATCAACCTGCCT